TGCTTTCCGATAATTCTTCTTGCTTCTGCAATAGGGATGTGGTAGTCTGCACTATATTTGAGAATTTTGCTCTCTTCTTTATACTTCGGACAATCCTTTGAGGTGGCTTCGTGATTATTATTGCATAAACTACACTTTATTAACTGACTTTGACATTGATCTCTTTTGCGGTTATCACCACATCTGCTACATTTAATTTGACCTCTGGAATTTTTTATTCCATGTCCGAATTTCAGACACTGTGAGCACTACCTAGGACTCTCATAAAACCTCGTTACTCTTTGCCTGGTCAACCCTACTTTTATGAATTCTGGGATGTTGTGTCCGATAATTGTGACCAGCACCTTCTCGGAGGGCCTTCTGTTTTTATCGGACCCTTTTATCATAAATCTTCGTGAGCTAATTACATCTATATCATTGTTACAGCTAAGTTCTTTAGCTAGCTCAGATAATTCGACGTCTTCCAGTGTATCAGATAGAAGAAATTTACTTGTTAAATCATTCACTGCGAATGTAGTAGAGACTTTGTTATTCAATATCTCTGACAAGTTTTGTACTTGCCAAGCACATTCAGCCGATGCCGTACAAATTAAAAGTCTGCCATCTCTTATGCGCTTAATAAAACCAATATGTTTCACCAATGATACTTTTTTTCGATTTCATCTTTTAAGCTTTTTGGGTTATTCACATTCACATTTTTTTCTTTACCACTTATAAAAATTACATAATTGTTAATGCCTCTTTCATGGCATGTTTTTAGAAATAATTCTGGCGGCCAGACAGGACTGAACAACTGTTCTGGCCCTTGCCCGGTTTCACTGTTCCAATCCATTATGAATGCATTACAACTACCGTATAGATAAGAAGATTTCCAGTTAGCTCTCTCGGAACTTTATTTACCGAAGTTAAACTGCGCAGTAAATGAATAAAGGTAACCTTACTTAATAGACTCCGAAGAGTACATCACGCTTCCAAGCACTTCCTCGCAGGTAAACAAACGCGAAAGATCTACATCCCTCTTATTTTTACACCTTTTTCTGAACGGAACATTAAAAGGCTTCTTAACTGTGCTTTACTAAATTTTAAGATATGGAGTTTTCAAACGCATCGTAGTCTGGGTCATAAAGTATTCTTCCGAAAGAAACGCAATTCAAATAAATAAAATCAAATTCTAGAAATTTATATTAATAAATAATATATTTAAAATGTGCAGTTCGAATGAGTGAATAGAAAATTTTAAAACAATTAGCTGAAGAGACAATGCAACACAAACAAATAAAATAAAAGTCTAAAAATTTAAAAATTACCTAAAATAATAACTATGACTAAAAAAATATACTCTAAAGAACAAACGCTATTTGAAAATAATAATAATAATAATAATAATAAACGATGCACCTTTTATTTAAACTACGCAGTTCGAATGCGTAAGTAGAAATTTTTAAAACAGTTATTTGAAAGAGACCATGCAATTTAATCAATTAAAAGGAAATTCGAAAAAGAAATATTTAAAATAATAACAATTATAATTAAAAATATAATATAAAGAGCATTATTTGAAAGAAAGAACGAAGTATAGGTTTTCTGCCGCTCACGCGCAGTGTAAAAAGGGAAAGGAAAATAGGTTGTCATATAACTAAAAAGTTCGCCATGTGATCTATTCTTGGCGCAAACTGGAAAAAAAAAAAAACCGCCAGTATAAATTTTTGAACTTCTCCGTAAATTTCTCAACAAATTAAAAGAAATTTAATATTTAAGCATAATTTAAGTCGTAGAATCGAAATATATAAAAAATTGGTATGTTATTTCCGAAAAAGTTCGATTTTGTGTCAAAATACCTATGTTAGAATAGTGCTATATATAAATCTAATATATATCCTAAGTCGCGCTTTCGAGACATGAAAAACGCCCTTTGAATTTTGTCAATCGGCTCAGTAGAACGGGAGATATAGAAACTGTTCCTTTTTTTTTTTTTTTTTTTTTTTTTCTTTCCCCCGCAGTGTACATCCAGTTACACATGTTGTTACAATCCAAAGTATTTTAAATGACGAAATTAAACAGGGTATTTAATTTTAAAATTCTTAATTTTTAATGTAATTTTCAGCTTGCCTTGAGGAATCGGTTTTACAAGATATTTTAATTTGAGGCAGCAACTGTAAATGAAGTGCAGTAGAAATACAGACGTGTTTTGAATAACGAAAATATTCATGTTTTGGCAATGCCAAATTTAAGAAAAAAATTAATGTTGGGCGAATAACGAAATCTAGATTTTAATACGGTCTCCCGGTTGCTAAACTTATATTTGGAAAAGTTTTATACTGGTTAAGAAAAAATAAAAATATAATTTTTAATTTCAAAATTTTCAATTTCCGATGTCATTTTTAACTTGTCTTGAGGAATCGGTTTATTAAGTTAGTATAATTCGAGAAAATAAGTTAAATGAAATGCAGCAAAAAAGTTTGTATAATTTAATAGGCCATATAAGGGACTCATCTGATGTTCACTTCAGGCTTTTTTTTATTTAAGAATATTATTTTATTTTGTATTTTAGATTTTATGATGGGGTTTTATATGAATTAATATAGAGATTAACTACACTCATGTCCATAAATTAAGGATAATTCGAAGTCACGCGGAAATCGAACTCTAAAATAAATATATCACCTGTAATATCACTACACACATCTTCAAGAATCATATGCAAATTTCAGGAAGTAATCAGATGACACCGATGGCACGTCACAATGACGAAAGTGTAAGAGAGTGATATATAAGGAATACAGGAAAAGAAGTAAAATTGTTCGCAGGCGCTTTATAAGCATTTCAGTGTAATAATCGAATAGTTATGACACAAAGAACGCATTTGGATGATTTTTTACGTGGTAGAATTATCGGCCGTCTGGAATATGGGCGTATCCAACTGGAAGTATCAGACGAACTTGGAATTGCCCAGAGTGTCATCTCCAGGCTTTGGCAACGATTCCAAGATGATGGTAATGCGAGTAGACGTTACAGCACAGGTCTCCCTAGAGTTACAACCCCGAATAAAGACCGGTATTTGGCAGTTACTGCCAAAACAAACAGGTGGAGCACAGCCTGAGACCTGCCTCGTCAGCTCTCTTCAGCCACTGGTACGACAATTTCAAGGCAGACCGTGTACAGACGCTTAGGGCAGATTGGTTTATATGTTCGTAGACCTGTCAGATGCGTTCCACTTACTGCAACTCACTGTCGCCTGCGGTTAGCCTGGAGTAAGAGAGCATGCACTGTGGACACCGCAACAGTGGGCTTGTGTGATGTTTTCCGACGAGTCCAGGTTTAGCTTGCAGTCTGATTCTCGCCGGACTTTCATATGGAGAGCTCCAGGTATTCGTTACCACCAAGAAAGCATCATTGAACGACACCCGTTACGGTGGTGTAGGAGTGCTCGTTTGGGGTGGAATTATTCTGGGTTCCAGAACTGACCTTCATGTTCAAATTGGAATCATGACAAGCCATATCTATCGGGACGTCATTCTGGAACAACATGTACATTTGTTTCGGGGTGCCATGGGCACACAATTTGTGTTTATGGATGACAACGCCAGTCCTCACCGTGCAAATATCGTAAGCGAATGCCTTCAATCGGAGGATATCACCGTACAGACTGGCCAGCATTCTCACCAGACTTGAACCAGTAGAACACGTGTGGGACATGCTTGGCCGACGAGTTGCAGCCCGTCAACCTCCTTCTACATGTCTACCGGAACTTCGGAGTGCATTGCTTTTTGAGTGATGTAATATCCCCCAAGATCAGATCGATAATTTGATACTCAGATGCCTAGGCGTTGTACGGACTGTATTGCATCGTCTGGGAGACATACAATGTATTAACAATCAAACCAACCATGTAATATTGGTTTTTTGTAAATAAGTTTTTTTTTTTTTTTTGGTAATTTGCTCCAGGGAGAAAAAAAAATCGCTAATTTTTTTAATAATATCAAACATATAGCATCTGTTTTTGCTCTTTACCTTTTGTTTAATAAATAAGCTTTACAAATAAGTCAAATTTGTTTTGCTTCTAACTCTTCCTTTGCCTGATTTTGCATTATCCTTAATTTATGTACATGAGTGTAAAATGCGCTAATTTTTATATCTTTACAAATAAATCCTCAAGTACTTCGGCCAGGGTAATATTCTAATCCGGCCCGTAGTTCTGTCAAAGTTGCAAATTACTGGTGTAGACAAACTGCTATCAGGCAACAAGCTTAGAAATACTGGTTACTGAACAACTTTGTTGCCTCTTATATGGCAGTCCTTTAGCCGGAAGATAAGACGCACCGAAGTTTTACTCGATAAGAGAAATTTAGAGAAAAGCTTAAGAAATTGGTGAGTAAATTACATATGCATCAGACTGAAATATTAAGGCTTTCTTTTAATACATAAACAGTACACAACATTTTCTAGCTGCTTGCAGCAAGTTCTTAAGTTGTTTTCATTTAACATATGCTTTTAAATTGTCTACTTAAATGATTTAATTAATATTACTTGTATATCTGTATTAAGTATTTGTTTATAATTAGACTCTAGTTGATTTATGTTTTATTAAGCCATAATTTTTATAGCACAGTAAAGTTTTAAAAAAAAATTAGGACTTCACAAGTTTCATTAGCAGAAATAAAAAAAAAAAAAAAAAAAAAAATCAAGCCAAAGTACCACATTTGCTCTTATTTATACTATATATTGTCACTTCTCTTAGTTAATGACATTTAATGTATTTTGCTTGCACCTGTCTTTACACAAATCATACATGAAACTAGTGTTAATCAACATGTGAGTGCTTTTTCAAGACTTTAAAATAAAAAGAAGTTTTAATAAAGATGACTATTTTTCTATTAATTAGTTAAATAATTAATTTAGTATTAATTAGTAAATATAATAAATTATTTACATTTTAATTAGTTTCTATTAATTAGTTAATTTCAAAGAAATTTGAAAAAATAAAAATAAATTGTTCTTACAAACACTGACGTCTGCGATTTTCTTCATGCCAATCAATCTGTTAATAATCTGTTAATAATCTGTTTTGAGTAGTAGCTTGAAATTTTGTGTATTGTTCGTATAGATTCAACAAACTCGCTTTTGATTGGGCGCAAGTGCCTTCAATGTGCCCTTTCAGTACTTGCTGAATACATGGCATGGCTTCTGAAATCTCTAGAAAATAAAATTATAACTGCTTGTAAAATCGTTTTCATCAAAAAATATATTTCAAAAATAGAATCTGTTGTTTCTTTAAGAATGCTGTATCACAGTTAAGTTTAAACTTATTTCTATTCCATATTCTTTGGCTCGTCACGGTACTCGCTCAGATCAGAAAATGATGGTTTATAAAATGTAGATGATAAGCGGGCCAGTTTAAAAACAGGATGTTAATCTCAACCCTAAAACTAATGAAGCTTGTTCTTGAGAGGGAGTCTTTGCCCTCTCTTTCAAAGCTAGTGAGAACTCTACAGAGAAGTTTGCCTTAATCCGATAAATCTTACAGAAATTAGTTTCCTATTCTAGCTCCAAGTATGTTCTAAATTGAGTGAAGATACTGTGGTAATTATATCGGAATCTGAACATAACGTCAAACAGCCTATCATTGTAATGGACGAGATCTCAATTTAAGTTTGCTGTCATCTTAGTTTTTGTAAATCCAAGTCATGACTAATTAATGTTAACTCTTGCTTCTTTTATCGTGTGGTTAATAGTTAAACAGAACCAAAAGCAATGACTCGCTGAGCATTAGGATGTAACTTCTATGGATAATCTTTTTTTTTTTTTTTTTTTTTTTTTTTTTTTTTTTTTCAGGTTTCAGGTGTTCAAATACAAGTCTTTTTATACCTCAGAAGTTGTATTTTCATGAAGTTTTTTTAACTGTGATGATCCGCTTCTAAAATGTATTCAAAAATCAGATTAAATTCTTGCACTTAGCCTGTGCATTGCATTAGAGAATAAAAATACCGTTTTTACAAAAATGTTTCATAAGAATAAATAATAAACTTAAATTTAAATAATTCTCTTGCGCCATTGCTGCAAGGAATGAAATTTGAATTTAACAAACATTCTGCATTCGTATAAAACAAATTTAAAGTTAATTAAAATTTAAATTTTAAGTTATGAAATTTTGATTGCATACAAATAAATCATTAATTATTGCTGCGAACTAATTTACAATATCATTTAAATTCTGAGACCATATATAAATTAAGTGCAAGTATCTAAAACCATGAATAAATATATAATATTCCAAAAAATGAATCCTAAAAAATTTTTTTAAGTCTAAATTAATTTGCATTAGTGAATAATTGTTGAGCAGGCAAGAGACAGATCTTATCAAGGAGAAGTTGCCTTCAGACCTAACTCTTCAATTACTCATGTTTCGTAATCCATATAGGCATGGGTACAGTAATATTCAAAACCAAAAGTAAATCAAATGCAGTGAATTACTAAAAAATTTAAACAAAAGGAATTTTGAGAAATTTAGAAAGCAAATTGGCTAAGAATCAAATAATAAATGTAGAGACATTAGGATTTTTCGGAAGCAAGAGAGACTGAAAAATTAGCAAACGCCTTCGCCGGGAATCGAACCGCGGACCTCTCAAATACGCGCTGAATGTGCTTTCCCCTACACCACGAAGGCACGCTAAGAAGGTAGGAGAAATACCTTATATAAATAATAAATGTAAATTGCCAATATAAAAAGAGTAGAAAACCAAAGTAATTTAGAAACCTTTGCCTATTTGAAAACTTCCCCGACACGAATTATGCATGTAAATCAAAAATAAACTAAATACAATCTATAAAAAATACATAAATAATACTAAATTAATACTAAAAAGGCAAGTAAATAGTAAGTTTTAATTTAACTTACCTAACTACACATTTGTATTTCGGAGGGTCGAGTATCATTTAAACTGAAGTTGAGTAGTTTGTTTCTGCTAACTGTATAGACAGAGGGCACTAATATAAGATAAAGATGAGTGTTAAGCTGCTACCTGTGAGATCTATTGTAAAAACCTATTCTGTAAAATCCGAAGTAATGTAAAAAGTCAAATGTATGTTCTGTGTGCGAAAATGTTGCTAAATGTGAAGCTTTGCAAAAATGTGTGAAAAAACTGAAAAATTTGCTAACTGTTACGGTTTGTGAAAATATTTGTTGTAAACTACGAAGGATCGTAAAAAATCGAAAAATTGTTTTTAAAATAAAGTTCGAAAGAAATTTTTTGAAGTAAAATTAATTTAATTTAATTTTAAGTTTAAAAAATTTTAAATTAAAGTAAGAAATTTTTCGTAATAGTCTGAATTATTAAAACCGAATTTCTACAAGTTTAATGAAAACTTTACTAAATACTGGTCAAAAGTAAAAAATATACTTTTATTCACAGATTGAATTTGCGTGCAGCATCACGCTTGCAAAGTTTCGCTTCCAGAAATAACATACATCCTTAGACAAAAAAAAAAAAAAAAAAAAAAAAAAAAAAAAAAAAACGCCGCATCACGAACGCACTGAGAAGATATAAAGCAAATTGGACACAAATTAATATGCATACAGGTTTCGACGGAAAAATGCAAAAGTTTACATTTTGGCTGCCAATGAATGAACGGTTGTCCCTACAGCGGATCTGATCTACGCAACTGGCAGGATATTTCAGAGGAGAAATTACGATTCCAGATCATAAATTCGTTCACGTTTTCATTTCCGTGTACTCTGGTAGACAGTAAATAATGCCTCGTATACAGGCACGCGAACGGTATGCGCAGATGTCAGAATTTGAGAGAGGTCGTGTAGTTGGGGTCAAATAAGCCGGTTAGTCTTATCGGCGAAATAGCTCGACATTTAAGCAGGAGCGATGCCACTATTAGACGATGTTGGCAGGAATGGGTGAACCTGGCCGCCAACAGCCGTCAAGAAGAAAGCTGTAGGCTAGAGGAACAACAGTAAGTGAAGACGGAGCAATCGTTAGAGCGGCTCTCACAGCCCCAGATGCATCATTATCATCGGCTGTACGTGCAACTAGTGCTTCAGTGACCGCAAGGACCATTCATAGACGGCTTATAGAAAGGGGGCTGAGGTCACGGGGCCCATTGCGCCGACTACCATTCACCTCTGTACAACGTCAAGCCCGTTTGCAGTGGTGTCCGGCTCATTCGCACTGGAACGTCACTGACTGGAGTAGAATAGTCTTCAATGACGAGTCCCGCTTTGAACTGAGCCCCGATGACCAGCGAAGGCCAGTCTGGAGACGCCCCGGACAGCGGTGTGATACCAACCTGACTGTCTTCCGGCAGACAGGCCGACAACTAGGAGTGATGGTCTGGGGTGCCATTTCATTTCATAGTAGGACCCCTTTGGTTGTCATCCGTCGCAACCTTACAGCACAGCGGTACGTTGACGAAGTTCTAAGGCCCGTTGTGTTGCCCTTCATGTCACGTCACCTTGGGCTTACATTTCAGCAAATAATGCCCGCCCCCGCACTGCACATGTTTATACTGCTTGCCTTAGTGCTTGCCGAACATTACCTTGGCGAGCAGGGTCGCCGGATCACTCTCTTATTGAGCGCGTTTGGCGCATTATGGGCAGGGCCCTCCAACCAGCTCGGGATGTTGACGATCTGACGCGCCAGTTGGACAGAATTTGGGACGATATCCCTCAGGAGGACATCCGCAACTTCTATCAATTAATGCCAAGCCGAATAACTGCTTGCATAAGGGCCAGAGGTGGACAAAATCGTTACTGACTTTTTCATTTTGTGAAGCTCTATCACTTCAATAAATCATCCAGTTTTTCTCAAATTGCAATCATTTGTTTTTCTGTACATGTACATCTCTCCTACCGATTTTTGTCCCATTCGGATAACTCCTCCTTGGTGCGTCCTTTTTTTGTGTGTGTGTGTGTGTGTTTAAGAGTGTACTTTTATTTCATGCAGGCAGCGAATGCGCGCAGACAAGATAATTACAAAAGGAGCTTGGCGAGTATTGCATCTGTTTCAAATTAGAAACCTATTTCCGACACCGGAATTTCCAGGTAGATAAATTCAAATATCTATGAAATACAATACATAGATCATAATACAGTGGGAATATTTCAAACAAATATTAGAGATTACAATATTGAAACATAGCATTATGTTTACTAAAATGCTGTAACAAAATTCAATTATAAATTACCTGAAAAGACAGCCTTTCACCCTTCTACTAAAAATATGCTTAATGTATATGGGATAATTTAGTAACTTTAAATGATAATTCTAGCATGACTTAAGAATAATTTAATTCACAATGATAAAAGACGTTACTTAGTTGTTGCGAAGCTTAGTTTCTCTAGATTGGCAGTAAGTACATTATTCTGCTAAGTTTCAAAAATAAACAAATATGGCTGCTGTGGTTAAAAAAAAAAATTAGGCTTAGCCGTACTTAAACAAACTTATTATTAAACAACTTTTAAATTTTTGATAATTCTACAACTATAACATGCAGGTTAACTAAAAGAATAAAACCCTTTACTGGAAAATAAGAACAACATAATCAATCATTCTTAAAGCAAAAAATGCATAATTTATAAACATATAAGAATAAGGAAACTGATCTCACTGAGCCGAGTGACAGAGTGAATATATATATTCATATATTTATATACTTTTGGTATCAACCAAACGGAGAGGTGCACATGTACATGTTATAGCAGTCCCATATAAAAAATTTCAGCGTACCGAGGCTTATTTGTTTTTGAGTTATGCGAGATACATACATACGTATGTACAGACGTCACGAAAAAAATCTCTTCTGAATCCATTTTTAAAAAGTTTTATAATTCGTTTTTTGGGGAAAAAGAGTCTTTTATTCTGTTCTTACGTTCAGATGTCACGTAAAAACATAGTTAAATTGCATTGGATAACGGTCAAAATAGATATTTTTGTTGAAATATGGTACCCGGAATTTTTCGTAATTACTATACGTCCTTTACTTCGTACAAGGAAGTACTCGTAACTAGTTAGGCAATTATTTACATAAAAGGATTTTTCAAAATTTCGACTGTAGCTGCAAATTGGTTCGGGGCATGATTTAATGTTAGTTCAACGTAGCAATTAACAAAAATGGTCTACAGTTAACTCCAAGAACTATGCAATAATGTCTAGAAATTTTCGTTTTTTCTCCTTCTGTATCTTTCT